CCCCCCCCCCCCCCCCCCCCCCCTGCACGCAGCGACACGTCCAGTGAGCCGATGCTGCCACGAGGCAGCATCAACTGACTGAACGAGGAAGTTTCTGTTCCTCCTCGCATGCCTTCTCTGCCGCAAGCTTCCTCATGCTTTGCGTTTCTTTTCTCCGGTTACATTTTCTCGTGTCGTGACGCTCATTTTGTTACCACTCGTCATGATGATCGGAACGCAGTTTCCCAATCTCAGCAAACACGATCCCAATAAGTGCTTCTTTTCTGGATTTAATGGGAAGGAAACATCGAAAAGTTTTCGATTGAAATGAAATTTAGATTGGCAGATTCCTGCCATTTCCCGTCTCGTGTCCAATAAGCCTCGATAATAAGTAATGGATTAAATTTTCTTCTGAAAGTACTAACCTTAGTACTTTGCAGGAAACGGCTATTCCTTTCCTGCTCTGCGGAGTACTGAAATCCTCCTTTCCTTCGTTGGGAGTGGAAAAATCATTTTCCCTCCCAAGTACGAAGAATAGAGCCAATGTACAGGGTGGGCCTCTTTCCAGGTTATCAGAACCATGGCTGACAGCTCTCGGTTATCAATCCCCGAAAGAATTCAAATTGTGAAGTGGTATTTCCCGGAATGCTGCTAAAGTTGATCAAGAAGCATTATGGCCGAATTCCTCCAATCCGAAAGAACATTTTGAACCTCGTTCGACGAAACCGGAAACGTCCAAGATGCGACCAAGATCCATTAGAAATGACGAGAACAAAGAACGGGTTCTCGTTGGTCTTCAAAGAAGTCCCAAAAAAATAATCAAATCTGGCTAGGGCCAGCGTTCGACGAACAATTAAGGATCTCGGATTGAAGCCCTGTCACCCTCAATTACTTCATGTATTGAGCGATGATGATCCCGATCGTCGATATGAATTTACCGAAAAATTCCTGGACTTGGTCGCTGAAAATCCTTCTTCGCCGGACAGAATTATTTTGAGCTGATGAAGCCAATTTCAAACTGAATGGGCATTTTAATCGGCACAATTGCGTTTATTATGCCGTTGAGAATCGCCATGTCGTGATCACACAAGAGTTGAATGCCCCTGGCGTTGGTGTATGGGCTGGAATTTGGTCCGGTGGCGTCATCGGACCGTTCTTCTTTCGTGACACCGTCACTGCAGATAGCTATCTGGAAAAACTGAGTGAAGAAATCATTCCTACCATGGAACCTAAAATGAATTTTGGGCAAATCTTCGTTATGCAAGATGGAGCTCCGGCCCGCTATGCTCATTCGCGACTTCTTGGACGAAAAGTTTCCTGGTCGGTGGATTGGGCGGCGTGGATTTGACCCCAGCTGACTTCTTTTTATGGGGTTCAATCAAAGACAGTGACGAAACCTCAGACGCTTCCAGCACTCAAGGATAAACAATGTGCTATGCAGAACTTGCCGGTGGAATTATGCCAACGTGTTTGCCGATCGGTCCCAGAAAGACTGCATTGTGCAAAAACACGAACACATTGAACAATTTTTGCAAAAAGATTTGATAGATATAAATACTTCTTGAACTTGTGCTTTCACACATACTGCTTTCTATTTCTGTTGCTTTTCAGAAAAAGTCTTGTTGATGTTCAAACGTGTTTCCTTGCTTCTGGCCCACCCTGTGCGAATAGTCCAAAAATTGAGAACCAGGAGGAAGGGAATCATGAATATGGTCAGACTTCTGCAGTAATAATTTAATATGAAGCCTTTCCGGAAAGGTTGATTCCCAAACGTTGATACTTCTGAACTCGAAATCCGGCGCAACTTTTCCTAATATACGTTCATTCTCTCACACCGTTGATCCATCTCGTCTTTCTTCGCATTCCTCGCGAAATTCATGCAGCATCACAGGCCACGTTGAATCAGACTGAGAAGAGGCATATTGCATACGAATGGGCAAGGTTCGAGTTCGAGGCTCGTTGAAGCTCGATGAGCTTCATCGCCTTCCACATCCGAATGGGAGAGATAACCAAAGTGGATCTTTTCTAGACTGCCTCTCCAGATATTCAATACGCGTTTGTCAGAATTTCAATTAGTTTTCCATATTTAAAATCGGTACTGGTTGCGTAGACTGCCGAAGAATCCTGTACACAGTCTTTATGAGTAACTCTATATATTATGGAGGGGCTCAATTAGGATGTGGGGAGATATACTGTTCATATTTTATGGTGAATCCTGACAACTGTTTCATACGCGCTTCGAGACGTAGCATTAACTAGTTTATATTGGTAGGAAGGTGCTTGCTCCAAGAGGTAAATGAGGCTTTTTGATAACTTATGTCAAGTAGATGCGCATGCAAAGGAAAGGAAAGGCAAGCGAAATTGCGGGCATGAAAATTTTTCTTCAAACAAGAGAGGACAGGGGAAAAGTTTCATTTGCCAGATGGACATTCTCGTCCGGGAGGCATCCAGGAGTCCACGCCTTCGGGATAGCTCGTCGTCTGATTCCAAGGCTGAAATGGAAAATCAAAATAAAGGATTCCTCAGGGAGGCTCTAAATGCACTTTGCAAGCTATCATAATGGTAAACCTGGATTACATTAGTTCACGAGTTACACCGACGACGTAGCTCTTGAGGAATCACATGACCATCGATATCTGGCAGTAAAGCTACCCTAGTAGCATATAACATTGAAACAATGTTGATTCAATATCCCAACGTTGATTCATTGATATATGCTACTAGGGTAGTCCATTATGGAAAAGCCCCAGCCACTCATTCGATGGAACCAAATATCGTTGCCCTGGTTTCTATGGATTTTGAAAGGAAGAAGACTCACGAGAAGGAGTTCCCCCTGATTGTTGAAGCATCGCGTATAATGAGGATCGTAACGCATGAGATGTTGGAAGCCTTCCATGTCGACGCCCGACCAGTCAAACTCGTTCAGATAGTCCACCAGGGTCTGGTCCTCCGACACCATGTATTCATAGCCTCCATTCCTGTTGGGAAAGAAATCAATTTCCGCAATTATATGTCTGAACGGGAGACGAATTGCAAAATAGGGCAGGGGAGGAAAACAGCATACGGGTCGAGCCAGACGTCAGTGATGCCGAACATAGAAAAGATGCTCTCGAAATGGGGGAGACTCAAGCAGGCAGCAAAATTCACAGCAGGGTAATATTGGAAGAAAGCCAGACACATCTCTTCCATTGTTCCGAAACCACTCACGGTCACCGAATCCCGATTCGACGAATCATAGTCGCATTCTGTATATGAAAATATACATAGTTCGAGTGATAAGTCACAATCTGACAAAAAACATTGCTCACTGCATGATAGGCAGACAAAGAACTAACCCATGATGAGTTGATCTCCAGGATAAAGGGTGATGTGTTCCCGAAAGACTCGGACCTGTTGATAATCGAAGTCATAATTGTCGTCATTTTGCAGCCAGGGCAATTCCTCGCCGTTTCGGAACACCCGGACTCGCATTTTCCTTCCTGCATTCAAGAGTGGATTTCAGAATTCCCCAAAGGTAGCATCTCAAGGAAGTGGGAATGGATTGAATATTCCCGGAGACTCACCGAGCAAATGAGAATGGAGAAAGCCGGAGAATATGTGAATCCCTTCAGGAGGGAAGGCGATTTCGGTACACTTGGAGTTACAGAGGCCGACATTCATGAAATGGCTTTGTCTTCCAGGAGTTATCTGTTCATTCAAACCGAGAAAAGGTTCGTGATCCCCAAGTCACAAAAATAGACCACGACTCCTTGCACAGTTTAAGTTCCACCAATGAGAGTTAAGTTTTATCCATGTATTTTCTTTATTGCAGTTCGTTGAACATTAGTTCCGTTTGCCTAAATATAGACTGTCCGTAAAAAGGGTTCATGGTATATCTTTTTGAGGGTAGAATAAAAAAGAATGGTTAGATGTCAATACAACACAAATTCAAAAAGTTATTATGACATAGTGAACATCCTCTTTTTATCGCTTTTGATCTGGAACGTTTGACATTCAACCATTTGAGCGTTGAATAACCACGAGTGGATTATTCACAAAAAAGGAATAAATGGATTTTTTTTCGAGGCTGAATATTTATCCCTGCTTCATAGTACTTCCTAGGAGTCGGATGTTACCAAACAGCATTCAGGTTTAAACTTGTTCATGATTAACAGTAGAAAAGGTATGGATGACAGCGAAACACCACTTACAAGGGTTATTTATGTGAAGTTCCACTTTAGACCACTAGATTGAGTCACAGTTTCCCACAGTACGTGGAATAGCCCTTCCCCCTTTCCCAAGAATCTCCTTCACAGGTACATAACGTCGCCATGCCTCTTTATAGGTAATAACAATAGTGGACACTTCTTCATTTATTTATTCCCATATTTGAGACAGATTCCTGGATCCTACACCAAAAGTAGCTTGTCTTCCCAAATAAAAGGCCTTACTCAATCAAGTTACCTTCTTCCACACAGAATATCTGAGTATTTGTATACCAGGAAAGTTACATATTAATCTATCTGTTTATTTTTAAGTATTTTCAAAGGATTTTTAAAATTAACCTATCAAAAAGGCTAAATATAAGTTGCAGTTGGAACATCCTTTAGGGGGTAAAAAATGAACCATTGAACTCATACTTCTCTTGGTGCACAGGACTTTGTTAGCGGAAAGGGAATGAACTGATTCGAAGGGTTTCCTAATGATCCTTATTTAGTGTAAGTGCAAACGCAAGAAAGGATCTAATATTCAACTGTTCCTCGCCATCTTTTGTTGGCACAAGGCGAACTTCAAAAAGAACACTTGTTTACAAGTGACATAATTACTTTTCAGAAAAAATTTTCGCACTGATCATCTTCAGAGGGTTTTCCCACTCCTCCGCCAAGATAATACGAAAGATGGGATTCGAAGAAAAAAGCAAAGTCTACGAACACGGAAAGATTCGATGACATACCGATGCGGGATGGAGGTTGGAGCCGACTTCCAGCGTGGCCATCTCCAGGGGTCGAAGGACGTCCGTGTAGTAGACGGTGAGACCGGAATCATCCTGGATGCCTGACACCCCTTCAGGATTATCGTAATGCATTTCCATCATGAAGAACATTCCGCCTTCAGGGAGAACGTATCCCACGTTCTCTGGATACGTCTCCCCCTATCCGAAGAAAACAGTGGTGTGCTTATTACACACATATAGGGTGGTTAAAAAAAGGTCCACCGTTTTCAATGGGAGAAACATAGTTTCAGAAATGTAGCAAAAAAGAATTACCCTGGATATGCGATCGATATTTGACAGTTACAAGGTGTTGAAATGCTTGCCAGCTTTTTTCAGCACTCTTGCCTAAGTCGTGCAACGCCCATTTAGAGGTGAATTAAAGGTGCTTTGAGATGGATCATTGTTAAGCACCGTTAAGCACCTTTAATTCACCTCTAAATGGGCGTTGCACGACTTAGACAGGGGTGCTGAAAAAAAGCTTCCAAGCATTTCAACACCTTGTAACGGTCTAATTCCGATCGCGTATCCAATGTAATTTTTTTGCTGCATTTCTGAAACTGTTTTTCTCCCATAGAAAACATTAGAGCGTTTTTTTTCTCCACCCTATATATATATATATACAGCTTTTTAAGCGATTACCTGGTAGGGCAGTGGCCTGCTTCCCACCAAGGCGCATAGATAGTGAAAAGGAAATACCAATGGTGCCTGTCCCACCCAAACCAATCTAGGCAATGGGGGAATGCATTCCACTACAACATTATTACACCTGCTGTCTGTCCTGGTCAAAGTTCTTACTTTGCAAACAGCAGCTCAAGGTATATATCTGGCTACAGAAATCACTTGGTGCGGTCTCTGAGGGAGGGGAATGGGCGACTTTAGAGCCGATCAGGCAGCATGTTTGTTTCTCCTAACTCTCCTCTCCATGTCTCGCTCTCAACTCTGTGTTCCTTTTAGTTTCATTTTCTCTTGTAGGTGCAGTCGAGTTTCGAATAGTACTCTAAGGGTTGGCCACTCTTAGTGGTACTTCAACCATCGGCCTTCAAATGCAATAATTTACGTTGTCGTAGCTGTCCCTACATGGTCGAAGGAAGGAATGAATCTGAATCTAAGTAAACCCTTCTGCAAGAATAGCCATTTAATTTACAAGATCACCTGCAATTCCTGTGGGCTCACCTACGTTGGCCAAACCAGCACGGCGCTGAACATGAGGTGGGGTTGCGGGGGTGGGGGTCATTGGTGAACGTGATTGTGAAGGAAGGATTGTAGAGGTGAGGTTGAGGATAGGTTTTATCCTCGTATGTGGTGCTGATGGGTTCGCCTTCCAGGTTGACTTGGCAATGATAGCTTTTCTACCGAGATCATTATATTTTTCCTGGATTAATTGTGAATGCTTCAACACTGTCACCCCTTACGCCTTAAACGCGCTATGTGTGTAGGACGGCATTCGGGGTATTTTATGGTAATATCTCGTATACACAAATTTCTCATCAAACTTATCTGCTTCATCTCGAGACACAGCGACAGAAACTAATTAATAAGACATGGCTCTCTCCGGCAGGTCTGGTGCTGAGTGACATCATCGCCAAGTACTTTGTGTCGCCGACGCTGCTACGGGTCGTCCGAGTGGCCAAGGTCGGCCGAGTGCTTCGCCTCGTGAAAGGGGCGAAGGGAATCCGGACGCTTCTGTTCGCCCTCGCCATGTCCCTGCCGGCGTTGTTCAACATCTGCCTGCTGTTGTTCCTCGTGATGTTCATCTACGCGATATTCGGGATGAGCTTCTTCATGCACGTGAAGCACCGGGCGGGTGTGGACGAGGTGTTCAACTTCGAAACCTTCGGGAAGGCGATGATCCTGCTCTTCCAGATCATGACGTCGGCCGGGTGGAACGCGGTGCTCGAAGCCATCATCAGCGAAGATGACTGCGAACGGCCCGACCCGGAGACGGGGTACCCGGGCAACTGCGGGTCGTATGCAATAGGGTTGGCGTACCTCGTGTCGTACCTTATGATCAGCTTTCTCATCGTCATCAATATGTACATCGCTGTGATCTTGGAGAACTACAGTCAGGCGACGGAGGACGTGCAGGAGGGATTGACAGACGACGATTACGATATGTACTACGAGATCTGGCAGCAGTTCGACCCGAAGGGGACTCAGTACATCCAGTACTCGTGCTTATCGCAGTTCTTGGACACCCTGGAACAGCCGCTGCAGATCCACAAGCCGAACAAGTACAAAATCGTGTCCATGGACATCCCGATCTGCAAGGGGGACTTGGTGTATTGCGTGGACGTGTTGGACGCACTGACCAAGGACTTCTTCGCCCGAAAGGGCAACCCGATCGAGGAGTCGGCGGAGTTGGGCGAGATCGCGCACGTGACGGACCGACCGGGATACGAGCCGGTGTCGTCGACCCTCTGGAGACAGAGGGAGAACTACGCGGTGTCGATGATGCAGAGGGCGTGGAGGAAGTACAAGGGGTTCCCGGATGCGGAACGGAGACGGTTGAGTCGGTTGAGCGTGATGAGCAACCCGAGCGAAGGGGCGGCGAGGGCGGTGGCGGCCGTGGGGGCGGTGGCGGCAGGGGCGGCAGCGTTTCCCATGGGGGTGTTCCCCATCATGGGGTTGGGGCCTGTGGGGGCTCTGGCTCTCGCGGCGGCCATGCCGATGCCGCCGGGAGTTCCGTTTGCGCCGACGTCGGCCTTGGCGATTCCGGTGGCGCCGGCGGCCCACGCCCACTCCCACACCCAAGCCGCCGGTGCATCCCCGCCCGCTCGAGGTCAGGACACGCAAATCGTGCACGATGCTCAACGGCAGTCCGGTCACAAAGTGGTCCTACATTCCCGTTCGTCCTCTGTGTCTTCGCGTTCCACTGACGTTTGATTCTAGACCTTATCGGTTGAATGAGTTGACACGTCCCGTAGACCCTGCTCTATCCAGTCGGTTGGTCTTTCAACGGCCCTTCGGTTTTCGTGCCTTCTGACCCTCTGTCGGCCGGGCCGAGCGTCCTCTTCTGCAGGATCGCCCGATGTCCCTTTCGAGTTTTTGCGTGTGCAGATAGATTCAGCCTACGATGTCTATTTTCGGCACGCTCGTTTTTTGCATATCCAGAATTGGCAATGCATGGAAGGCCGGGAAGCTCGTACGAAATAATAATAACCTCTGCATGTCGACCGATGCCCCTTCTCACCGCATATGTGATGCTTACGTGATATCTCGGACTCCCCTCCGGAGGTTTGCGTGAAGGCGACGAGTAAAAGAAAAAAAAACACACACACCCAAGATACCTCTGCATGTCGACCGATGCCCCTTCTCACCGCATATGTGATGCTTACGTGATATCTCGGACTCCCCTCCGGAGGTTTGCGTGAAGGCGACGAGTAAAAGAAAAAAAAAACACACACACCCAAGAAAAAAGATCCCCATACGAAAAAGAATCCCAATGCCATCCGCTTGATTTGTCCCTCTGCTCGGTTGCCTTCCCCTCCCCCCATTGCACTGCATTGCTCAAGGTTTCCCCGACCTTCCTCTGTTGTTTCTTTTTTTCCGGATTCTATGCGAGTCGACATTGGTGCTATGAAGCAAGCGTCGCGCGATGTTGGAAATCCAGTCGGAAATTCCTTTTTTTTTTCCTTTGGGCATCGACATCGAATTTAATTTGGAACTTTTCTCTGCTCCGTCGCTTCTCACTGCATCTTCCGCACCTTTTTTCCGAGTTCCTTTCATCCCTGTACATATATGGAGCCTTTTATCTTTCGCCGCAATTTGCATGCGGTCCTGCAATTGCCCGGTTGATACCTGCCAATAAAGGTTTTTTTCTGGTTAGACTTCTTCATTTTCCGAGTTCCTTTCATCCCTGTACATATATGGAGCCTTTTATCTTTCGCCGCAATTTGCATGCGGTCCTGCAATTGCCCGGTTAATACCTGCCAATAAAGGTTTTTTTCTGGTTAGACTTCTTCAGTGAAGGACTCGACATTTTTTCACGAGAAGAAATTACATTTAAAGACGCCTTGAGAATGTTATTCACGACTATCGTTCCATCTCAAATTTTCCAAGCGAAAGTAGCAAGACTCGAAGGTGAAAATCGACCACCCAGGAATTAAATTCTGGCTCATAATTATTGCAGAGGACCCCAAGGGAGGGCCTTGGAGCCACCTTTTGGCAGTCTCAGATGAAGCACCTGACCGTAGCGAATGGTCTAAGGTCACGATTTGCATCTTTGAGAATCTGTACCTCCCCAACCGTTGGCGCAGAAACGTCAAATTCACGCTATTCTCCTCGCCACACAACTTCTGAGAAAATTCTGAGAAATTTATGAAAAGTCTTCTCTCTTTAAAGAGAAGAATTCTATATTTAATGACGCCCTGTTAATTTTTTCCAACGCTATCGCTCCATCTTATTTTTTCCCTGTAAAATTAGCAAGGTTCTAACTTGCAGGCGGACAATACGGCTATCTCCGGCCTTCTTTGTGAACCATCTGTGAGACAAGACGGCAATCGTCGTCCAGATGTCGTCACCACATCCCAATAAGGATCTATGAGACGTTATGACGTCTAACCTGAGGAATACAGGGCCAAACTTCAGAGGATTTTGCATTCTGTAGGTGACATTTTCCAATTAAATTATTTTTTTAAATCGTATTGTATCTGGTACTTCATGAGACCTGCAACGGAAGATATTTATATCTCTATTAATTTCGGTTTCTACATACTCCAGCCAGTTAATTGGGATGGTACCATGAAACTCCCGGGTAGGCATCTAACATATTCTTAGAAAACATATGTTAATGGGTTCCATCTGACTTCAACACATGTTTCTAAAATATTTATTGATATCTCCTTCTCTAAATCCCAGCAAGGCCCATGCAAAAAAACCATGAATATTGCGCCTTTGGATATTTTCCAAGTTGGTTCCAGAAGGCCATATTACCCCTATTTTTGGGGAGTATGGCCACTTCTAAAAAAAAAAAAAGTAACTTAAAGTTTTTGAGGTACGTGTGAAACATGCTTGAACATGATGAGCACCTTGAAACGTAATAAAGGAGGCTTAGAAGCTGAAAAAGAAACACATCACATAAAGCACATTTGCATTAGGGACAAAGATGTCGATATCATTACCTGACTCGAGGAATTCTTTTCGGCTTTGAGGCGGCTTCAAGAATTGGATGCAGACGACACAACAACGCCCGACAAACGTAGCATTAGTCACATCGATATATTTTGGACTCCTTGCATACTGTGCGCACACACATGACACACGCATGCGCACATTGCGATCGCGTGTTCTCCCCCCATAGTAAGGGGTTCACGGAGCATGGCCAAAGGCCACTAACTTTCAGTAACGTGCACCGTGGACTGCGATGTCCGCAGAGCAGTGTGAGACCGCTAAGAGAAGTCCACATGCTACATGGTCCTGCAATGCGACAATTCAAATTTAACGTCTTGATCTTTTGACTGCCCTTCGATTTTGCTTGACGTCATTTTCCCGTACACCCTGCCTTTGCCATTACGATTAACGAAGCCCACGGGCAGACCGAGAATTTAGGGGTGTTTTTTGCCCCGACCTGGCTTCTCACATGGTCAATGAGTGGTGGGTCCAGGGAGCGGGTGAGGGGGGGGGGGGCGACTGTCCCCCTATGGCCATGTTCGCATTCATCCACGGGCAGACCGAGAATTTAGGGGTGTTTTTTGCCCCGACCTGGCTTCTCACATGGTCAATGAGTGGTGGGTCCAGGGAGCGGGTGAGGGGGGGGGGGGGCGACTGTCCCCCTATGGCCATGTTCGCATTCATTGTCTTTAAATTCTTGCGTGCTACCGCGCGGGCTGCCAACTAGCTAGATAAATTGATTACATATTATGCAAATAAACCGAGGAAAGGAGAATATTTGCATTTGTTTGAATTACATAGTAATTTTTTAAATTTCAGATCTGATCTACGAGGGTTGTCAGAAAAGTTATGTGTATTGATTTTTAACTTGAGTTCCACTCGCTGAATTTTTATTAAATTTCGGTGAGCACTGGTTACATATAATAGTATTCACTGCGCGAAGTTTGGCATAAATTTAGAAACATTTACATCCGCTGCCGGACATTGCATACAGTCACTCTGAACGCCTCCGTCGCTCAAGAATCATTCTCGAAACATGACATTCGAGCCATCATCAAGTTCCATGTTCTGCTCAACAACACACCAACAGAAATCCTTCAGCTGATGTCAACGGCTTTGGGCCAACAGTGTAAAGCTTACGAGACGATCCGGAAGTGGTCAAAACTCTTCCTGGAGGGGAAGACGGGATCTTGAAGATGAGCCACACAGTGGG